AAGGGAAATTTCTAAAATCTCTAGTTTTTAAAAATCCTAATTACAATCTGCAGTAATCATGATATCATATACACAGATTAGTGTATATATGTCTATGTATATACATATATACACATTTATACACAAGTCCCAGTTTACTAATGAGGTGTCCATTCCAAGTTCCCCAGTAAATACCTAAGACTATGGTTGATACCGAATGCTAAATATATTGTTGTTTCCTATACCTCTGGTACAGTTTAATTTAAAATTAGGTGATGAGAGATCAACAGTAATAACTGATAATAAAATATTATACCAAAACCTTGGTCAGTTTCACTACCTTTGTGATTTGCAGTATTTATTAATTAAAATGAGGATTCTGTAACTCAAGCAGTGCAGTACTGTGCTAAGTCAGTCTGATACCCAAGACAGCTGTGGAGTGATTAATGGGCAGGCAGTGTATACCGTGTGGATACATTTGGATTAAGGCATGACTGGATAGTGTGAGTTTTTATCATGCCGCTCAGAGTGGCACAGGATGTCAATTGGTAACTGAAATGGCAGAAAATGGAGGTTCAAATAAGGGGTGGGGACTACAGTATGCATAAGTTTTTCTTTTGGTGGATTGTGCAGGAGAGCAGAGTCAGAAGCCTGAGAATCCTGAGTGTGAGGCGAAGCCCTGCTGTTTTCCAGCTGTGTGAACCTGGACCCAGGTTCTTAGTTTCTTCAACTCTAGAATAGAGAACAGTACCAGACTCGTGACTCTGGCACAACAGCAAGCGTTGTGCATTTGTTAGATGAATGCAGTATCACCGGGATGCCAATCCTATTCACAACCATCTAACAAAGCGAGCACTCCAACCCCTGCTTGCCTGCTAGGAGCTGTGTTCTAATTCCTCCTTGAAGCTGTGTCCAGTAATGCAATCAATGTGGAGTGAAGTCCAATCTTTCTCATCCCTTTTCCTCCTGCTAAAGCCACCACTCTGCTTCACTGAGATTTGCCCATGAAGTTTCTTTCATGCACCTTCTGTTTTTAAAGTAATGTTTTGTATTTGAAGAGTGTTCATATATTAGGCATGTTAATGTTTCAATGATTCTATGACTCATTTAAAATTGCCACATGAATTGAAATATATACATATTTTAATATTATTTTTAAATTATTAACATAAAATTTATTTTTAACTATGAACAAACATAAGATTGTACCCATCTGTGAGTGCCGCTGGATGTATATATACCCTGAAATGTTTAAATCCAGTTAAGCTTTTCTAGTGCCTCAATTTACCATTTTTGTGGTAAAAAAATTCAAACTTCTTTCTTACAGTTTTGTGAAATATACAAACATCATCATCGTCGTCATCACCTATAGTCCTAGTACTACGCAGTAGCACCCAGAGCTTCTCACTAACCATGGTCAGCTTCCAGCTAACTGTAACTCAGCCCAGTGTCAGCTCCTCCACACCCCTTGCTCCCCACTACCAGCCCTGCCTTCTGATAAAAGTCATTCCATTCACAACTGCTATAGAAGTCACGTTTGTTTCTGTTTTACAGGTGAATGAGATCATTGGGTGTCTGTCGTTCTGCACCTGAGTTACTCTTGACTTAGTGATATCTTTTTCCACCCCTGTTGCCATAATGGTGTATCATTCTTTTTGAGGTCAAATAGGATTCCATTGATGGTTTTGTATCGTGTTCAATCCTTTTATCAGTATGTGAACACTCAGTTCTTATGAACACAATGCAATAAACGTCAGACTGCAGTTGTTTCTTCAATGGGCTGATTTCATTTCCTTTGGATACAGACCTAAGGAGCAGAATTACTAGATAATAATATAGCTCCATTTTTAATTTCTTGAGGTTATTTCAGGTGTTTTTTGTTTTGGTTTGGTTTTGGTTTTTGGTTCTTTTGCTTTTTTCTTGTTTCCGTTCTTTCACTTTTGTGATGCTGGGGGTTAAATCCAGGGCCTTCACCTTGAGCTACACTCCCAGCCATTCTGTTTTTCTTTTTGAAATGGAATATTTCTAGGTTTCTAAGTTGCTCGGGCTGGGATCAGACTTATACTTCTTTAGGTCCTGGTTCATTGAGTATTTTAGTTGTAGAGTTCTTTATACATTCTAAATATTTATCCTTTGTCACAGGCATATTTTGCAAATACTTCCTCCTCTTATGTAAATTATCTCTGTAATATATTGATTGCCCATTCCTTTGTTGAGCAAATACACTTTAGTTTGACATAATCTAATTTGTCTATTTTTGCTTTTGTTTTCTATGGTTGTTTTTCTCCAAATACTTGCCCATTCCAAAGTCCTGAAATAATTTTCCTGTTTCCTTCCAGGAATCTTATAATTTTAGGGCTCTTGTTTAAGTCTTTAATCCATTTTGAATTTTTCAATTGGCTAGAGATAGGGATCTACACACAGGCACACACACACACACACACACACACACACACAGGAACCCAGGATAGAGCAACTATATCAGAGTTGAGATGCCAAAGATGGAAAGAAATAATAGACTTGTCAAGAAATGATTCAAGGACAACTCACATTTTCTATATATCAGATAGAATCACATTTAAAATCCAAAAGTCAAAACTAAACATTTTTAGTAGAACATGTAAGAGAATATTAAACATTGAGCTTAAGAATTCTTAAATGACGACAACAGAAAACACATTGTCTCCATTTTAAAAATCCATGAAATGCGAGTTCATAGTTCCTGATTCTGCTCTCATAGTCTGTTTGTTTAACCTTCCATGAATACCACAATGATTTGTTGCTATCACTTACAATAAATTTTGCAATCTGTTTTCCTCTTTCCATTATTCTTCTTTGATGGTTGTGTTGCTTCTGTCTGCATGACTTTAATTCCTTTTTGCAGTTCACTGCTTTCTTTAGGGTTTGACTTTTTCTGAGTGAAGTGAGTCTTCCTCAGTGATGCTTGTGACTGGAGAGCGATCTGAATCTTTGTCTGAAAATGTCTGCTTTTCGATCACAGTGTCAGGTGATGATTTATCTGTATTTGCAGTTCTGGATGACAGTTTAGTTGTGTCCTCCCAGCCTGCTTAAGATGTTTTTCCATTGTCTCCTTTATTGCTGGCATCTGAAGTGTTTGCACTCCAGCGCTCAGCCTTGTGCTAGAAAGAGTGCTCGCTAAATCTCATCTTGCTTTCTGGAATCTGTGCCAGGAGGACAAATGAGTTGTGTGACCCACCAAGCCCTAGCTCCAGAACCCTTGGGGTCCTCACCAGAACTCAGCCAGGGGCCACCCAGAAGAGGACAGGATGGAGACAATGGTAAAATATCCAAACACCAAGAGAGTCTTCATCCTTTTTTTTTTAATTAAGGGATGTGATCAAAATATACAATATTAAAATTTTTTAAAGTTGATTAAAGTAAAAGACACATTGCCAAGAATGATGCGTTCAGTGTGTTCAAGGCCAGGGAGGACATCTGGAGGGAGACTGATGCATTGTGTATTTTACTGTAACACATTGCTAAAATTTCATCACTCACTGTATACTATTTTGGTGATCAATGGCTTATGGAACTTTCTGTCAAATAAAAATAGGACACTATGTCCTCATCCACCTTAGTCACCAGATATAGCACCATGTGACTTTTGGCTCTTGCCCAAAGCCAAAATTACCACGAAAGGGGGCATTTTGAATCAATCCAGGACATCAAGACAGCCCCAACTACACAAGTAATGACACTCATGAAAGGGCACTTGCAGAACTGCCCGACAGTGGTGACAGTGGTGAGATACCCGTGTCTAAAGGAAGGAGGAGTGTTCTGCCGGGGATGAATGGCAATCTGTTTTTAGCTACAATAAAATTTTAGAATTTAATGCCTCTCCTTATGTTTCTACGACATCTTGCATGGGTTTCTGTGTTCAGTGACACAGGCCAGGTGTGTGCTCTCATGTCCATTTTTGAAGGGACTTCTGGATATTTGATCATTGGCATGGTCAATGGTCCACAGTGTTGAACAGTTCCAAAGCAGAAGAGCTCTAGACCTGTGCCCTGCTAATATCCAGGTGATGGCTCTCATTTCCCTTTGGGAGCTGCTGTGGTCTTCGTCACTTCCAAGAGGACTGAGTTATACTCTACTCTTCGTCTTCTCAGTCCAAAGCAGCAAGTGGTAGAAAGGATATTTTGAACATTTGTTGAAAAATTAATACTTTACAGTTAAGTGGAGGAAACATCAATAAACCAACACAAAGCAACCCTAAAAAGTTGCACTTATACGTGTGCATAGAAAGCTATTCCAGAGGAAGAAATATTGAACATGAATTTTTTTGAAGAAAGATATTAAAACTAAGATTTCTTCCCTAAAACTGAAAAGGTATTGTTGCCTAAGGGCAGGGAAATTTGGGGGTGTGGGTGTAACCTGTACACAAAGGAAAATCTACTTCAGAGAATCAGAGTTATATCAGGAAAGGGAATCTGATAAGAAGAAGCATATCTGGACTGCAAAGCCTGGTGCAAGTGGTTCCCACTTGGGAAGATTAATTTTTTTTCATGTAAGAATTTAAGTCTGAGAAAAGGTACTGTCAGCATATCAGCTTGGGGAATGATTTAAAGGTATACACGTAAAGTAAGAATTTGCTTTAACTAGCTGGGGATCATTCATGTTGTGCATATATGGCTCAAGAGTTCGTTGTTTTCTGTTGTCCGGTGGTACTGGGCTCCACTGCATCAATATGCTGTATCCTGCCTCTTCAGGAAGCAGCTGAGGGACATTGGGGTTGTTTCCTGCTCAGCGTTCTTTCTGACACCTCTGGATGAACATGGATGTACAAGTATGGGTATGGACTTATGTTCCCATTTTTCACTTTATTTCACAAATATCTAGTGACTTGGCTGTGTTGCAGGACTGGCGTGTAGTTCTTGGTAGAATATGTGAGGAGAAAACCAACAAGATACTGGATCATGTGACAAGAGACTATCTCTCTCTGTCTTTCAAGAAAACTGCCAAATACTTTCCAAATATTTATCATTTTGCCTTTTTATCAGCAGACCGAGAGTTCCGGTTCAGCCACATCTTCATCAGCACTTGGAATGACCAACCTTACGAAGTCTACTCATACGAATAGGTAGGACCGAGGATATAATCCTCATTCCCTAATCATTAACAAAACTGAATGTTTCTTTCACCTGCTTATTTGACATCCATACACCTCTACAATAAAGTGTCTTTTCCAGTTTTTAATAAAATCTTTATTTCAGATACATGTTTTCAGATATATGTCTTCCTCATCCTGTCTTTCATTTTTCTACCAGCAATATCTTTTAGGGAGAGGAAGTTTTTAATTTTGATCAACTCCAAGTTTTCAGAATTTCTTTTCTCTTATGGATACTGATTTTCCTATTGTATTTGAGGATATTTAGCAGACATGATTTTTTTCTTATGTTTCCTTCTAAAATTTGTAGTTTTAGATTTTACATTTTGTGTTTGGGGCTGATAATTTTTTCAGATGGTGGGATATACTGGTCAAAGTTCACTTTGAAGGATACAGATATCTAAACATTTATGTTTACAATATTTTGTTGTATAGAATTTAAAGATTTTTGTTTCAATTGAACTTTTGTTTCCTTTTTTGCCTCCATACTTAGAGAAGCCTTTTTTGACTGGAAATCAAGTGCATAACATTTTTTCTCCAAGAACTTTTCAATTTCTTTTGCATTTCTTTAATCTATATTTTAACCTAAGTAGGCTTTATTGTGGTAAAGAGTGAGAAATCTGTCTATGTATCTGTCTAGTATCTAGAGACAGAGAAATCATTAACTAGCATATTGATGTACTTAGGACCCTACAAGACTCCATATATCAAAATGATTTGATTTTAAGTGCTACATGGAAAAACTAAAATTTAAAACACAAGTGTATACAGAATACATATACTCAGGTTAGTGTCATATGAAAGTGAGACAAGAAATAATATCACAGAAACAAGAAAATTTAAAAATTAGAATAGAATATCAGATAGAAACTCAATGCTAATGTTTGGGAGTATTGAAGAATCTAAGAAAATATAAGATGACAAAATCAGTCAAAGAAGTTGAAAAACTGAATGAAAAATAAACATGGAAAAATTGGAACTGTTTCCAAAGAATTACCTTCTTCAAGCACTATAGGTCCAGAACACTGGGGGTGAATTCTCCCAAAAATGCAATGAGTTCCATGGTGCATAAACTGAAGTCAAGCATACAAAAAGATGGAACGTTTCCTGGTTATTTTTGCAAAGCTAGTGAAACACCCAAAAACAAAACTATGGATTAACCTCAAGTGAAATGTATGCATATAAAAAAATCTATCAGAATGGAAGATCAAATCAATCAAATCTAACAATAAGAGAAAAGTAAATGTCACTTCCAATAGGACTTTATTCCAGAATATGAGTGGTTCATTATAGGAATTCTATCATATTAAACTAGCACAGCAGAACCGTATGGTTACTACAAAAGTCCACATAGATCTATTTTTTTTTAACTTTTACAACGTTCAGATCACTGCATACTCACACACAAGTGTAGGAATTAATACAGATGATGGTACAGTGATGATATGCCCAGTTATCCCAGTGTAACACTTTGCACAGCTACAGCACAACAGAGCACTTATACTGCAAGTCTCTACACCTTGTTAAAGTTTGCACACATTCAGCTCTGCCTGCAGTTTTGTCCCCAGACACTTCCCCTACAGACGAGCTGTGGAACAGCTCACCCTAAGAATCACAAAGGCAACACTGAATGCTTCTATCACCAGCCCCTTCTTCATTTCTGTAAATTTTCTCCTTTCACTTTCAAGAAAGTTATATTCATAACATCACGAAAAATGCAACCTGAGATTAGCTTTTTCTTAAACTCAACATCTTTCTCTTGGGAGCAATGCAGACTGTTGTCTGTATTAATGGTATGTTCCTTTCTATTGCCAAATGATATTCCATTGCATGGATGTACCAGAGTTACAACAATTCACCGGCTGAAGAATTAGCTTGGGGTTATACTACTGTGACAACTTGGGGACGGGTTTTGCTGTGAATGTAGGTTTTTATTGTTCAAATGTTGTAAAGGAGGGTGCAACTGCTGGGTCACATGCTCTGCCTATGTTTACCTTTGTGATTTTCATTTTTTATCCCCACACTGATGTGTAAGTACTTCACTCTCTCTGCCTCCTTCCTGGCATTGGATGATATCACAATTTTTTCTTTTCATTTCCGCCATTCTTCTAGGTGTGCAGTAATATCTCCTTGTGGTTTCATTTGCATTTCCCTAATGGCTAATGATACTGAACATCTTTTCATGTGCTTATTCGCCATCTGTGTATCCTCTTCAGTGAAATGTCTATTCATATCTTTTGCCCATTTTCTAATTGGATTGTTTGTTTGCAAATATTTCCTACCAGTCTGTAGCTTGTCTTTTCATCTTCTTAACAGGGTTTCTGTAGAGCAAAAGTTGTATTTTTGATGGGCTAATTTATTAATTCCTTTCTTTATAAATTGTGCTTTTGATGTCATGTCCAAATACTCCTTGCTTACCCTGTGTTTTAAACATAAACCATTGATCTATACCGAGTTAATTTTTACTTGAGGTAGAAATTAAGAGACATGGGTACAGGTTCATTTTTATGGCATGTGGACATTCAGTGCCTCCCAAACCATCATGGACCTGCTTTTGTTCTTTTGTCAAAATCAGCTGCATGAGTGTGCATTACTATTTCTGGGGACTGTATTTTAATCTACTATTATATATGACTCCCTCCACCAATATCGTTATCTTGAATAAAGCTGGATTCAGTATGCTCCTTTTTTGTTCTTCTAAAGTATTATCTTTAGCTTGTTTAGAGCGTTCTTTTCCATATAAATTAAACCTATATATGTTTGTGGAAAACACTGCTGGAGTTTGACAGGAGTTGCTTTAGACCCCTGGAACAACTTCAAGGGAATCCATGGATTCTCTCTGTCAATTATTACAATCAATAAACATTGTGTATTTCTTCTTTTGATTAAGTCACTGATTTCATTCATCAGCATATCATAATTTTCAGCATTAAGTTCCTATATAACTTATGTTACCGATGTGTAACTATTTCATTTTCCTCATAGCATTTAGACAACGGGTTATACTTTTAATATTGGTTTCTATTCATTAGCTTGTAAAAATATGACCAATTTTTTTCTATGTTGAATTTGTATCCTGCAACCTTGCCAAACTTGTTAATTAGTTTGGCAAAAAACTATTGTAATTCTTTGGGATTTCCTACCTAGAAAATAATGTCCCTACAGTTAGGGACAATAGAGGGTGTCTTCCTTTTGGACACGCATGGCTTTGATTTCTTACACTGACAGAAAATCTAGCAGCATGTCAACAAGAGCCATGTAATGCAATATCTTTCCTGTCCTTGACCTTAAGTGGAAGAATTCAGTCTTTCACTGTTAGGCATGCTGAAGCTACAGGTTGTACATTGAGGTGCTTTATCTAATTGAAAATATTCCTCTCTTCCTGTTTTTTGGTGAGTTTTAATCATGAATAGTATTGGAATTTGTCAAATTATTTCTCATCGTTAATTGATATAAGCATATCATTTTTCTTTCTAGCTTGTTGATGTGGTGAATTACATTGACTGATTTTTGAGTGTTGAACCAGCCTTGCACATCTGGAAGAAATCCCACTTGGTCATGGTGTATAACTCTCTTATGTGTTTCTAAATTTGATTTGCTGATATTTTGTTCAGGGTTACAGATGAGGGTCTGTAACTTCTTGGTTCTTTTTTGTTGTTGTTGTTGCTGCTATTATTGATATCAAGTATTGATACAAGTTTCATAAAGTATACAGAGATGTGCCCTCTCCTAGTTTGTTCTCTTACAAATACTGTGAAGTGGTATGGCTTCTCTAAACTCCTCACAGGGTTTTGCAGGGGCCTGTCTGGTGATGAAGATCTCTTTGAGGGTTTTGAATTGTTTGTGACTGTGCAGATTGTCTGTTTCATCGTGGTTGGCTTTTGGCAGCTCATGGCTTCCTCTGTGTCCCTGTGACAATGAACATCAACTGCCCCAGAAGGGTCCCTTGCCTCTTCCTGAACGATTCTGTCCCCGTGTCCCCCACCATGCCCGACCCAAACAACGATTACCATCTCTCCTTCTACCTCTGTCAATCTTGAGAAATTGACACCCAGTTACCCACTTTTTCTTTCACTAGTTTTAGCCACTGTATCCAGCTTTACTTTCCTTGGCTTCTGCCCATGTATTTATTATTCCTTTCTCTCTGTTTTCTGGTATTTCGTTGCTCATATGTATTTAATGTATGTTTTTAATGCCACGGACTTTTTCAACTCTGCTTTTCATGTTGTACATCTAGCAATTAAGGCGAGAGGGTTGCTGACAACTGCCACTGCCACTATGGAATGCCACTATGCCACTGGCACTTTGTCTTTCCAGTGCTATTAATTTTGCTTCACATGCTCTGAGGCTTCATGTAACCAATGCACACATTTACTATGATTATGTTTTCTTTGTGGGTTAATCCACTCATTGTTAGACAATTTCCCTCTACTCTGAAGCTGTCTCATGTTAACACGGGCACCCCCAGTTTTTAGGTCAGCATATGCATGGGATACCTTTCAATCCTATTGCATTTCACTCACATGTGTAATTGTGTGTATTTGGAGTGGGTTTCTTATAGACAGCATATGGTTGGATAACTTTTTAAATCTATTCTGTTTTGTTTTTTAATTGACATTTAGACCATTTACTTTTAAAATAATTATGATGTCATAGAGTTTAATCCTGACATTTTATTACCATTTTCCATTTTATTTCTTGTTTTCACTCCTCTGTCTTCCTGTGGTACCTGTGTACATTTCTCCAAATGCCATCTTGGTTTATTGATAATTTGTTTGCTTGTGTCCATTTGTAAAGTTTTCTTTGAGGTTCCTCTACTACATCTTATCTGTAAAACATGTCTCAGTAAAATAAAATTGAAAAGCTTCTATTCTTAATAAGAGATATTATTTTAAAAATTAAAATCAGGAATTCAGGGTATTACAGGATCCTTGTTATTATCATTAATATTTAACTTTTTGAAGCCTCTACCTAGCACAATAAGGTAAGAAAGTAAATAAAAGAGTTAATGCTTTCCATGGAACAGACACCTTTATTTATTTATTTATTTATTCAAATAATGTGATTGACTTCCTAGAAAATCGACGAGAAAACTAAAATTTTATGAATTGATAATATATTTCAGTCTGTGGCTAGCTATAATCTAAATATTTGGCAAGAAATAGGTGGTTCAAAAGTCAAATTTTTAGAAAAAGAATACAAATTTCTGAGGAAACATATAAAATAAAACTCCTAAGAACAAATACATGAATATATATTTTTTTAAAGAAACATTCAGAACTTTGTTAACATAAAGTAAAATTAAAAACATGGTGGGCTATACCATGTTTTTGACTGGAAGAATATTCGCAAAAAGAATACTTGCAAAAATTTTAGTATTTTCAAAATCAAATAATTTACTAGATTTCAATGAAATTATTGAAAAAATAGACCAAATCATTCCACAACAAGAAATGAGGAAGAATGACTAAAATATTTGTAAAGAATAAGAGTGAAAGAAGACTTAACCTAGAAGCTACCTATGTACCCTAAAAAATTGTAACATTTGAAGTTGTTGTCTCTCCTGGAATGGGCAGGCAGAATAAATATATGGAGAGAAAATTCCATAAATAAAATGTAAAACATAGAAATAGAACATAAAAAATGCATTGGAGGGCTGGGGATTTAGCTCAGTGGCATAAGTGTCTGCCTGGCAAGCACGAGGTTGTGAGTTCAATCCCAGGTACTAAAGAAAGAAAGAAAGAAAGAAAGAAAGAAAGAAAGAAAGAAAGAAAGAAAGAAATGCTCTTGAAAATAATGAGTTAACTATTTAAACTCTTCAAAATTGTTGGCCAGATGATCTATTATATATTTTCATATACGTAATTTCTTTTGAATCTGGTAATACATAGCTTTCTTTCTTTCTTTCTTTCTTTCTACCTGGGATCAAGCTCACAACCTTGTGTTTTCCAGGCATCTTTTATTTTCTTAAAGACACTAGAGCTTATAATTGAAATTACTCTTTTAACAATTATCTCCAATTTCTTTATCAAATTTGTCCTATTAAGTAACTTTTTTTTCTTTAGCCTTTGGTTTCTTTTGCTTTGTTTTTTCTAAGCTTAATATCATCATAAAATTATATTAATTGGTCCTTTTTTGTGTAATATCCATTTTATGCCATACATTTATGTCTAATTAGAACTGTGGCAACATTTTATGTTTCCATATACATGGAGTATTATTGTAGCTATTTATTAAACAGTACTTTAATTAAGTTTACTGGTACAATTTAGATTTGCATAATGATCACATTCATAGGGAGTTAATACCTGTACCTGTTACATTTTAGTTCCTTTCTCTCCCCACTCCTCTCCCCTCTCTTCCACCTCTCTTCCCCTCCTTATTTACAAAGCTTTGTTTTTAGTTTACCCCTTTTTTCTGATTTTTTTCTTTCCTTTCTATCCCCATTCTCCTTCTCCTTTGGACAATAGTCTCCTATTTTACAGTGTCTATTATACATTTTGCTTCTTATTTATACTTTCAGTTTCTCATACCAGAGAGACAATGCTATATTTACACATGTGTCTGATTTATTTCATTTAAAAGTATGTGCTGATATAACCATGGCTGTGCATACTTTGCTGTACTGATGCTTTTAATTCCTTTGGGAGGATACTGACAAGGGGAATAGCTGAGTCAAATGGAATCCCTGGTTCTACCTTTTTCCGGAATTTCCACACTGATTTTCATAGTGGTTGCACCAGTCTACACTCCTACCGATGGTGGAGAAGAGTTCCTTTTTCCCCACTGCCCCTCCAACATTTATTATTGGTAATTTGTTGATAATAGCCATTCTTTCTGGAGTTAGATGGAATCTCAGCATTGTTTTAATTTGCATCTCTCAAACGACCAGTGAGGGTGAACAAGTTGGAAGAAGCAGAAACAACTTTAAATATACCAGCCATCTGATCTTTGACAAAGTGGCCAGACAGCCTCTTTAGTAAATGGTGCTGGAAAAAATGGCTTTCCACATGCCAAAGATTAAAACTAGACCCATGTCTATCACCATGCTCTAAGCTAAAATAAAAATAGATTGAGGATCTAAGTATTAAAACAGAAACAATCTGCTGGAAGAGAAAATAGAACTCTTGAATACACATGTGTAGGTGAAGATTTCATGAACAAAACCCCAACGGCATGTGAAATACTATGAAGAATCAACAACTTGGATCTCATCCTATTAAAAAGCTTTTGTACAGCAAAATAAATCACCAACAGAGTAAAAAGACAACCCACAGAATGGGAAAAAAAACATCTTAGCCAGTTCTTCAAACAAAGGACTTCTATCCAGAATATATAAAGAATTTAAAAATCTCAGACTTCTCCAAATTTAAAGACTCAGTACAAAAATGGGCATCTGAGATGAACATACACTCCTCAGAACAAGTGCAAACAGCAAATAAATACATGAAATAAAGCTGTTTATTAAATATTCTGATACCACCTTTTCCCCTATGCTTCCAGCATGCATGTTTTACATATCTTTTTATTTATAAAGAAAGATAAGTTTTTCTAGGTATACATTTATATTTTTGTTACTAGCTCTTGGTCTTTTTCACTGTTGTCAGAAAATATGTGACAAAATATGCTTCTGAGTAACTTGACACTTGTCTGTACCTAATGTTACCATATTCACATTATCTGTACTCACTTAAAAACATGCAGTGTAATTTTATATGTAGCTGTATGATTAAAACCTTATATCTTCATTAATTTTTGGCCCATGTGCTCTATTAAGAGTGTATAAAATTATTTCAAAGTATCTTACTTAGATTGTAGCTTTGTGCATACAATTTTGTAGGCATTATCATCTTCAGTTATGTCTTGTCATTATTTTTAAAGGAAGAAAAAACTCTTGATTTTGTTACCTGCTTTTATGCTTTCAAATAGTCTCTATCTGATATTAATACAGGCTGATTTTCATTAATGCATTTTATCTATTTTCATAAGGGATATTCCTGACCCCTCTTTGTTATTATGGCATTTTCATTTTATTTGCTTCTGCCTTTGATTTTTCCCCTCTTTTTTTTGGTAATATAAACAATGATTTATTTGATTAATTTCCTTCTAGTGATTTTGAAGTTACAGATCCTGTTTTGACCATACTATCAAAAGCTGTTTCTTTTTTCTTCTGATTTTTTTTTCAGTGTGGTACAGCAGACCCAGGGAGTTACATTTGCCAAGCAAATGCTCTTCCCTGAGCTGCACACTCAGTCTGTGCTGCTGTAAGGCACAGCTCTGGCCCTGGCACCTTGCTCCTGGTTCCAGACCCCACCAAGGGAACCTTCTGGAGCCTTCCACGCTGTATGAGGCAGCCAGGCCTGAGCTCCCCCAGCTGGAGAGCTGGAGAGGCAGAATTGGAATGAGTGCCACCCATCTCATCTGTGCCCTGATCTTGCCCCTGTAGCTGGAGCAGTGAGTTTCTTTCTAGAAGCACCGCTTACACTTTGCTGAAGCACATTTCCATGGAAAGAAAAGGGACAGATTTCTTTCAATATGTTCTTCAAATTCAGCTCCACAGCACAAATTTCTATCCTTTTTCTATTTTGCTTTTCTAAAATAAAGAAAAAAAAATCTTAATCAAACCTGAATTTCTGTAAGTTTCCAAAATGCAACCAGCACTGGTGTTTCTGCACCTTCTTTCCTCTTTCCCATCCTCTGTTTACGGAGGCTGGACCTGTGGGGAGAAAGCTAGCATTTTACATCTGTAGTAAGCTTGGCTCATGTTGTCTGCCTCCTGACGCTCTGCACAGAAGGTGCCCTGAAGGAAAGCAACCTGCAAGCTACAGAAAATGTGACAAATCACATTTTGAGCTTCAACACAATGCAATTTCTCTTTTAAGACTAATATTTAAATACATGATGAAATTTGTGTTTATCTCCTATTCTTCCATGAGAGGACTTTTAAGGAAAAATTTAGTACTTTACAAATGATCAAGTCTCACAGTAAGATCAAGAGTGCTATTCCTAGACCATCATGATTATAATTTAATACATGTAATTTTATACCGTCTTTCTAATTTCTCTAGAATCATTTAAGTGATCAGATCTCATCGGCTTGATCTGATATCCATTTTGAGGTAGTTTTAAAGGACATTAAAAAACTAACAGTCTCCTAACTTAGAATCTATGTCTGTTACAAAAATCGCGTATCTCTGATTTCAACAAAGACAGCTGTAGTTTCTCTCCGCACAACTGTGGTGTGGAGCTTTCTCATCATGGTAGTTTCTTTTGGGAGAATCAAACTGGCAGACCCAGATCTGGGCTGGAGGTTTTCTTTTAAAATGAAGATAATAATTTTAGTTCTTTTAAAGATAACTCATCTCTCTTTCAACCTTACATAGTTTTTAAACCTAACACAGCAAAACATCCAAACAGTAAATAAAATGATTCCTGTTCCTCTCTCCATACTTCTAACTGAAGTCAAACTACAATTTTATGTAATGTGTTGAGTAAATTTTAGGAGCATGCAACTGTCATTATAATTGAACGTTTATTTTCCTATGATTAATTCACTCGTAAATGGGAGGTACCAAATATTACCATCATGGTACACTTTGGAAGGTAACTTGGAGATCATTTATCAAAGTAGCTCATTTACAGATGAGAAACTGGGTCCCAGAGAAGTTCTATGAGTTTTGTAATGAAAGGATCAAAATGTTTGTGGGATTTGTGGTTTCCAAGCCAAACAGAACAAGGCAAAAAGTTGAGTTGGTTCCCTGAATAATTCAGATCAAAACTGCTGAGATGTCTGAATTCCAAAATGCAGATTGTGTGTTTGCCCTTAAATATCAGGACACACTTTATTCATTGTTTCAATGTCCATGCTGTTTGCAAACTTTCTGATTAAACGTGTGGTCAATGGTGACTACGCACATGAAACTCACTGCTCATTTCTGTTAACATCTATTAATGATTTATTATGTGCAGACAATGAGCCAAGTACCCCATATACATCATGTCACTTAAGCCTTGCAATTCCTCAAGGGAGGCAATGTCATTCTCCTTTGCCAATACTAAGAACTCTTGAGTTTTTCTATGTGAGAAAATGGAAGCACTCGCTCAAGTTCACACATCCGCTCACGTTTCCACCCTGAAAACAGCACCTATACAGCTGGTTCCTCGCCGCAGCACGAGGCTTGGTGCATACCTTGGTTGCTGAAAACGTTTTAGAGGACTCTGGCCCTGCTCAGCTGTGCTATCTTCATGGTGTTTCTTTCTCTTCCTCAGCCATTATCCATGTGTACAGGGGACTTGCTTTCAGGGAACTGCTCTGGCTCTCCTGGGGCTCCTGGGTCCCTCACTGCAAATGAGTCCATCCTCAGCCTGGAGTCACACTCCTGAGCTCTTGTGTGACCAGACTGAGGCTGTGGCACCAGATAAGACACCTTCACCTGGGTCTTCTATCTTCCTGGCCCCCCGGCCGACCCACCCCATCCTGCATCAGTTTCTACAGGAACCTCTCTCTCCGGCATGCCTCATCTGATTCTCCACACTCCATGCCAAGGTGCTGAGCATTGGTCCCAGGCAGTAAGAAGTTATGGACAACTCAGCAGATCCTTTTGTTTTCACTTTTGAAACCGTTCTTCCAGTGACCAGCAGAGAAGCTTCCCAGTGCTCTCGAGAGCAGCTTTCAAAGGGCTTGGATTCTTCTTTGAACTCCAAAGAAGAAGACTCTTTTGAGTAAAAGTCCTACAATTTATTCCTTTTCAGCTTTGCTACACCAATCAGCCCATCAAGCTTCCATGATGAACCTCAGCATGAATGAGGGCTGCATCCAACTGCAGGGGAGACCCTGCTCTGTGAAATAAGTGGCCAGGAGTCTCTGACATTGGCCCTTGGCAAGACCTCTGTGTGTGATACCCGGAAGTCCTGGTATCAGCCATAAGGACCCTGTGTGCATCTGTCACCCCTGGATGGCAGCCAGGGACTGAGCCAGTCTGACCATGTCCATACTATAGCAGGATCAGGGAAGCTGTTCTTTTTCTTGTCTTGGCCCCCATACTGGCTTTCTGTCCTTAGTCCTGTCTGGGCCCCCACACTGGCTTCATCTTCTGTCCTCCCTGCCTTATATTTAACCTGCCTTTCGATGACATCATCAGTGGCTCCCCAAACACAACTTGATACCAACTTTGCTGATGGCCAGAGATCTGCTTTCAGGTCAGCCCATTCCCAGGCATCATCACAGAGATCAATTTAGTCCTTCCCCAGCTTTGAACAAAAAATCTCCCTCCACTACTCAGAGAGCTGAGTCTGAACCCGTGTTATCTCCTGGACACCTCATGGTGGTTGAGATCATTTCAAACAAGTCAGGCTGAACTTCCAGGAGAACATGGCAGATAGATAACAGCAGCTATGGAAGCTTTCTGAGATACCCAGTTTAGAATCCAGGAATGGTACAGTGTGAGGACTCCTAAGCAAGGGGAGATATACCCTGCCAACCCAGGAATGAACTAAGCTGAGACAAACCAACTGGAAATGCAATCCCGGTGCTATAACTGGAACAGATAAAATCTCAGTACAGAAGCTGGAACCTGTGCCTCTGGAAATTGTAATTTGAATTTCCTGCCACCGCCACTGCTGCGTCCCATTCGGCGGCACAGCAGGGAGAGAGACGCGCGAAAGCTCTGAGAGTGGGAATTGATGAACAGAGTTGAGAGCGGGACTGGCAGAAGCCCTGCATCAAGTTGTGGTGAGTGAAAGGAATGGGGACCCTTCCATAGAGTAGGAGGCTCCAAAACAGGACACTCCAGGACCGGGCAGGCTAGCGGGAACAGGACACTGTAGTGACTTTAGTCACATATTCCCCTCTCAAGTGGGATTGATTCAGAGCGTTTGGCCTGGAAGACGCCCCTGACTAAAACCCAGTAGGCTAGCCCATACCAGGTCCCAGTGCCTGGCAGTGCACCCTAGCAGTGGAGCCTTCACTAGGTTGACCTGGAGGGGTGGGCCCAGCAGAGGCTGCCCAGGTCTGTGTCTCCCTAGTACACTGAAGTGTGTGTGTGTGGGGGGAACACCTAGCCAGCAGATTAAAACAAACTGTAACCCACAAAGAAAAAAACCGGGCCTCCTATATATATGCTTGTATGGAAGGAACAAAAAGTATGGGAAGAGGGAGAAACAAGAAAGTGTCCTCAGTCCCCAGTCCTGAGAACACTGATCCAGGAAAGGTAAATGCAAAGGAGAATGAGGACAAAAAACATGCAATATAGACACGGCACCAATAGACATAAAGCAATATCTTCAGAGCCTCATAGATGAGTTCAAAAGTAAAGTATTTAATGGAATAAAGCAAGATATAAGTAGAATAGAGATACGATAAGCACCACCCAAGAAAAAACAGATGGTGGAATGGAAGAACAGAAAAAAAGGGGAGAATTGCTTGATGGAGAAAATAGAGAAAACATAGAATACATGAAGTAGGTTCAAAGAGATTCAGGAAACTAAAAGTTCTATTGAAAACTGGCATAACAGCTTGAAAGAGACTAAGGACAGATTATCTGAACTGGAGGGCAGATTTGTAATGTGGGAGCATGAAATGAAAAACTTCTTAAAAATAACAAGAAAACAGCAATAATACAAAGGTTAGAAGATGATAAGAGGATCTATAAATTAAGAATATAAAAGAAGAAGTAGGGACATAAACAAATGAACTACAAAAGCTATTCACAGAAAAAATCCAGGAGAATTTCCCTAATTTAGCAAAAGGTAAA